AAGTTGACAACAAATAAAGGATATTGAGACTCTGGTTTAAAATAACACCAGGGATTACAGAGGAAACAGGATTGCCCACGAGGTGATGGGAATACTGAATTCGATACTCTCTTCTGGCTAATTTGGTACATGTTTCAAAATTTCCATAACAAAAGAGGCTTTTGTCTGCTTTCAATCTCAAATACCCCTACTAAACAAGGCAGAGAAAGAGACTAGGGCAGGAGAACCTCCAGGCCGAGAGCCAGGTCCCGGTTGAGGGATTTCAAACCACTGCACAGAAGTCTGGGGTGCTCTGCGAATGCTTGCTACCCACTTCCTCTTTCAAGTCCACCTTCCACCAGTTTTCAAATCTCAGTGAAAAAGCACCCACCTTACACCCAGATGGGGCAACCTGTGGCCAATGCAGCCCCTGTGCTACTTTTGATCATCTGTGAAAGGCACAGAATTGAAAGTCGGAGTTTAGAAACTTCTGCAGCAACCTGACACTGACTTTATGTCTGTTGAATTGCAGTAGGATAATGGGCTTAAGCTTTAAGTGTCTAGTTTATTTTTTTAGTTCTCACCTGAGAATATGTTTATTGATTTTTTTTTACAGAGAGGGATTTGGGGGTGGGGGAAAAGAGAGAGACACAGACAGACAGACAGCTATGTGAGAGAGACACATTGATCAGTTGCCTCTCATGGGCACCCCAGCCAGGGATTGAACCTGCAACCTAGGTCTGTGCCCTGACTGGGGATCAAACCCACAACCTTTTGGTCCACGGGACAATGCTCCAACCAACTGAGCCACCTGGCCAGGACTATGTGTCTACATTTTTATTAAACAACTTTTATTGTTTTTTTTTTAAACTAGCCTATGAGAGGTTAAAACTTAAAACCCAAACAAATGACTGGTCCTTTACCATGGAGAGTCCGCAAGGCACTCTTATGGACTGGACACCAATCTCCTGGGGACCAAAACCCAGCTGCTCAGGTGTCCTGCCAAAGACCCCGGATCAAATCCTCCCTCCCCACCATCTGCAGGTGGGACACCAGCGCTGCCTATAAACACAGCACTGACTACACGCTGCCGAGTCTGCTTGGTTTTGACCCATGTTCCCTCCGCACCACCGCAGGGCCAGAGCCACATTCCACTGATGGCCAGCAAGGCCCGGAGCTGCCGAGCGCCCACTTGTCAAGGCACCGTCACCAGCCACGGTGTGACAGGGACACCAGATCACCTCTGGGAGCAGCCTAGTGGGCAGTTCGCACACTTTTATTTATAATCTACTGGCACAGTGGCAAGATGCTAGTCAGCCAGCCAATTTACACATACAGTGGGACGTAAGACTGTAAAGTAAGCTGCTTTAAAAAGCCCCACTGCTTCCTTGTGTCAACTACAAATTACTCTCTCACTGAACTAAAGTGCGGGAATCAGTCAAACATAGGGACTCCTTTAAGACACCAACTAGCACCCATGGAACCCTGGTCTCAAGAGTGTGCTCATAATAGGAGCACTGTTCTTACTCTGATATGCAAAAAACAAACAAAAAAATCATAGTGTGCTCTCCCTCCAGGGAGCTCGCCCGCACCTTTCTCCCCTGTCAGGTGTGCATCGCCTAAACTCTAAGGGTCCGCACAAAGCTTGCATCCAGGGGAGCACTGGCCAGCAGCAGCTTGTCCTGGGATAACCACCTAAACATGTCTTCAAGGCCCCCTTTTCTCAACTTATCAGTGAGCTAACAGCAGTTCCCAACTTGGCTACTTCGTCACTGTGACTTTTACTTCCCAGTGAACCAACATGTAAGTGAAACACAGAGCCAGCTGCCTGCCACTACAAAAACCAATGCTCAAGAGGCAGGTGCTGAGGTAAAGGAAAGTGGTTCATTTTCATGTGCTGGCCACCTGGAAGACGGTGGGCTCATGTCTAAAAGCCCATCTCCAAACCTCAGTGGAGGTAAAGATTTTTATAAGGAGGGAAACAGAACAAAGAGATCAAGACAGTGTTGAAAGCTGGTCTGGTGTGCATCCTCCTGGTTCGTCACCCTGGATTCACGTCTTGGCTCCACAGGTGAAGGCCAGCAAATCTCTGGAGCTGGGATTCCTGAAGGTCAGAGTCTGTGTCTTTTGAAGTTAGTTCCTAGGATTCTTATACAAACAGGCTGTTTATCTATGAGCTACATATTAGTCGGAGTCAGCACTTAAAGACACAATGTCAGAAGAATGGCGGGGTGGGTTACAATCTCCCACTGTTACGAAAGCAGCCTGCCTGTGCTCGTTTCTTTCTCACGACGTGTGAAGGCTGCCGGAGCAGCCCGGTCGAGGCTCTTCACCGTTGCTTCTTCTACCCTAAGCCTTTCCTTGTTTCATTGCCCCAAACTGTAATAAACATACTCTCAAAATAAAAAATCACAAATGTGCAACCTTTGCCTACATGTGTTTTATATATCGGAGTTCTGTGTTCCAGTTTTATTACTTAAAAAAACAAGTGAAAGGAGCTGGTGGTCAAGATGCTTTGGGCTACAGCCCTACCTTTGCCACCATTCATGGTTTAGCAACTCTGGGCCTCAGTTTCTTCCTGTAAAATGGGAACAGAGCCCCCCATTTCACAGGTTTGTTAGTAGAGCAAAAGGTAATAGGTAAAACACACTTTAAAGAATTAAAATGGCAAAGCCAAAACTTCATGATGATCCATTTCCTCCTCTATTAAGTGTGGACAGTGATGCTGCAACTATAATCAATAACATTATGAACAGCAGATTAATTGAAGTGTCATTGTTCAAAAAATAGACCCCCAAGTCTGCTCTGTGTGCCCAACAGAGTGCTGCTTCCTGCTTCACCCCTGGAAGCCTCCGGGAATCTCCCCTGCAGCCTGCGAGGCCAGCTTCATCACCCCACGTACATACGGGACTTCCAGGGAACAACAGTAGCTGCCTCCTCCGTGTTCTGGACTTTCTTTGAGACCTCAGTGTGATAACACGTGAAAATCGATGCAAGTACAAATGGGTTGTGACATCACAGGATTTCACCAGGAGCAGTAGTAGTAATGAGGAGTTAACCCGGTGCCCCGCGCCTGTGTGCTTTCCTGGGCCAGCCCCTCCTTCACCGGAGCAGGGGACATGTTGGCAGTGTGGCCCTGTTGGGAACAGTGGGTGCAGCCCTCAGGGCAGGCATGACTGTTGACTCTGTGAGGCTCAACCAGCTGGAGTGGAACGTGCCACGGGGGCCTTGGAAGGCAGCCAGCATTTACCAGAAATGGCTTGCTCTTCACCAGACAATGAGTCCACTGTTAACTTGTGGGGCCTTAATATTTGCAAAAGGAACAAAGTGGAAAATTCCACCTGTGTGGGCGGAGGTAGGGCCTGGGACATGTCAACAACCCCAGTGGCTGTTTCCTCTCAGTATGGATCTGGCAGATACACAAAGGTCTGAAAACAGTGACAGAATCTGAGCGTCACTGCACTTGGGTCTAAAGGAATTTCCCTATTTGGATCATAGAGATATTTGTTTTTTATTGTTCTGCCTCCCCTGCCCTTAAATTTACACAGCACCTTTAAATCTTTGAACTCTCCTCTTATCTCTTCAGAGTCGTCCGACAGCCCTTGCCAGTCCAGCAGTGCTGACGTCAAACCCATGTTCTACATGAGGGTGACTTAGGCTCCCCGACACCAAGAGCCTCCCACAAGGCTGCAGCTGGTGAGTGAGCAGCTCAGCCAAGGGACTTGGAGCCATGGGGTCTCAACCACTCAGCCTGTCCCAGGCAGTTTGGGGTCAGGGGCCATGGGCGCTGGACAGAGTGATCTTCCAGCTCCAGTAGAGGCCCTGGCTTTCACCCACTGGAGGAGGATAAGGAGAAAGCCCAATCCAGTTCTCCCAGATGGTCAGGCTTAGGTTGAGGAAAATATGCATTCACTCATCCACTCAAGCATTTAATGAGATCCTAGGAAATACCCAACATGAAGTGGCACTGCACAGTGGGTCTTTCACACACATATACCTGGAAGGATTCACAACCAAAGCGGGAAGGTCAGAGTATCTCCAAAGGTCGCTCCCTTCAAAGACTTGAGTCACCTCATTTAGCCCTTTTCAATACACTCTCATCTGCCCACTTTACAGAGCAGAAAAATTGGGCTCTGGAATGGTAGTTACTTGCCCAAGGTCACAGAGAGAGAGGAGGCTGAGACCTCCTGACCTGCTGTGGCCCTGCCTCCAATTTATAAAGCCACAGCATTACTGAGCTTAGGCATTCAAACGAAGGGTGTGCCCTCCAGCAGGCCACTTCAGAAGCTGCACACTAATCAACAAGGACCTTTCCCAGAGAAACACTTTTTGGAATGACCTTCCGAGCGATGTGGAACCTCCTGAGAAGACAGGCAGTCACACCTGGATTGCGCACAGAGAGCACCGGGTATGGTTGCAGGGCTCACCTCTTGATCCCCCACTTTATTCCTGTCCACAGAGCTGGCCAAGGGCATCATCCCCAACCAACAGAGGACTAAGGCTAGAGTAGTGTCATATCTCTGACCCACAGCCCTCAAGCCTGGACCCAGGGCCGTGGATGGGGATATTTACTCAGTCTATATCTCTCGTCAATGCCCAGCACCTCTCCTCCCCTGCCTATCCACAAGCTCAGCAACCTGTATACCACCCTCATATCACCCCTTTCCTCTCCTTTGCCCACCAGCTTCTTCCCTGAAGAATCTCAGCTTCACCCTTTATTAGGACAAAACCACTCTCACCATACTCTCATATCTAAACCCACTTACTCCCACGCCCCCCTCACCCCCTCTTGCCAAACCTCACCTGATTGCCAGTGACCTAAGCCAGGGGGGGCCCTCAGGCCAGATGCAGCCACTATGGAGCAGGGCCTCTGCAGGTCAGGAGGTCTCAGCCTCCTCTGTTGGTGACATCTGCCCCATCTGACCCCACAAATTGCCCCTGTACTCCCCGTGCAACTCCTCCTATCCCTCACCTCCACAAAGCTCTCCTCCCCCAGGGCCCTATCCTCCTCTCCTCTCTTCTCTACGACCCCCTACAAATGTCTGCCTCACATTTGTAGGGGGTCGTAGAGAACAGATAGGATATGCAGGCCCATATCCTAACGCCAGGCTTCACCTCTGCATCCCAGGTTGTCTCCAAAGCCCTCACGTGCAACAGTTCCAAGTTCCTACAGAAGGGCCTGCGTTGGCACACAACTGAAAATCCAACGCAGCTCGGAGCCTGGCCCGGGGCAGGGACTCAGCTATGGGAAGTAGTTTGGTTAGTAGCCACCTCCCTGCTGGTCTCAGAGGGGCTGGCATCCTACTGCCCCACTCAGCCTACCAGGCAGCCTGTCTAAAACTGAAAAGCAACCACCACCTAAAGCTCTGCTGTGTGGTTCCTTGGCACCATGGGACGAAGTTCACGATCTCAAGCTGGTGGAAGATCTGTTTCCATCTGTACTTCCACAGCAGGGCAGGCACATGTGCCCTTCAACACGCCCTCACTGCACTCACCCTCAGTCCAAGAGAGCCCATGAGCCAACACCCATGTGTCGTTAACCTTTGCACCCAGTACTGGCACCCTGAGGATGTTTGCTTAGAAGAAAGACAACTATTAGAGCTGGAGATGATCTCAGGAACCACGGGGCTCAAAGCTACTCAGAAAGGTTGAGCAAGGGGTCCAGGATCACCCAGCCCCAGGAAGGGGTGAGGTAACAATCCCACCTGAACCTTGCTCTTTGGTCAGGAACCAGACCGATCCTCTGGAAATGTCACCTTGAACCCCATAAGTATGCATGTCAGAGCCCCCACCTGACCTTGAAGCTGGGCCCCGTCCATGCAGGCCCAAATCTGAATCTGACAGTTAGGCCAAGCCCGGCACACAGTAGGACTACAGCAAGAACAGATGCTTGACTCTCATCTGATAAGTCAACCTCTCATCAATTACATCCATAAAACCCACACCCCTCTCTAGGTCTTGGTCTCCTCATCTGTAGAAAGGAGCTAATTTGGCTTATAAGTTTAAGTGATCTGGACTGGTCAACCCACTTTGTCCTTTGCAAACAGAGAGGGCTGAAGCAGCAGAATTCCAGGCTGTGTGATCTGTGATCCACTGTTAGCCCAGCTGAAATCTGTTACCCTTCCCCCCAACTGCACTGCCTCTCCCATCCAAGTACTAACAATGCCCGACCTTGCTTAGCTTCTGAGAGCAGATGAAATCGAGCACATTCAGGGTAGTATGGCCGTAGACCACACCGTCTCTCAAAAACAAACAAACAAAAACACAATAAAAAACAACCCCCCCAACCTGTGTCAGAACTACCAGAGAGGGCTTGTTAAATGCAGATAGCAGACTCTGCACCACCTGTGGCCTTTGGTGGGCCTCTCTGAACAGGTGCCCACAATTTGCGTTTAAGGCAACGCTGAGAAATCCTGGACACACTGAAACTGGAGAACCAAAACTCCAAACTAGACCAACCCTCTAGAAACGTCACCTGGAACCCCAAATATATGTATGCCTGGACCCCCATCTGATACTGAGGCTGGACCCACTCCATGCAGGCCCAAAGCTGAACCCAGCAGGTGGGCCAGACCTGGCACATAGGACCACAGCAAAACCAGCCTTGGGAGCCCCAGGTATTAGTCTCGGCTTCATTTTGGGGAAATCTACATTCACTAGAAAAGTCTGGGATGGAATGGGGGAATTTCTGTTACCCTAAATTACACAGAACTTAGTTCCTGCAATAAACTAGCTCCGGGAAGAACTCAATAAGGCTGTGACTGCGCCTGTCCTACCCCTTTTGCTCTAGGGAGGGCTCACCCTTGTGTAAAGTGGTGCCCCAGTCTCAGCTTCCAGCCCGGGCGCTCCAGACTCACCAAAACTGTGTCCTGAGGCCGCGGGAGGCTGCGGCCAGCGCCGTGAGGAGCAGGGGCAGGGGCTAATGCCCGGGCGGCAACGCTACGAGCCTGGTCGGCCGAGTGTCGGGACGCGTACCCAGCTACTCACCTGGGCAGCGGGGGCCGGATCTTGGGACAGTGGACTGTGGAGGAACGTAGGAGCGGGAGCGGACGGCGGCAGCCTGGCCCTGCCCCGCTACACTTCAACTGTCCGCGCCGGCGCACCGCGCGCTCTCCGTGATCGGGAGAGGAACCGCGGGCGTCTCGCACTCGGTCAGCTCGGGGCGGAGACCGGAGCGCCAGGCTGGCGAACCCCAGGCTGGCGGGCTGGCTCGGGTAAGCACGGCGCGCGCAGCCCCAGGCGTGAATGCAATGTGCACCTGGCCCACTGCCTGCACGTGTGCACGGGGTTGACAAGCGCTGCTGCTTGCTGTGCGCGCTTGGCCTGCGAAGGGTCGCTAGCTCGACCCGGACCATCCCTCGGAATCTGGAGGACTAGGGCTCTTTCTCGTTCCCTACTCAAGGAGGGGGATGGTGGGGCATGGGCGGCACTGTGGGAGGCGGAGCCTGGAGGGATGGCCTGGGGCGCCTGGAGAGATAAGTGCGCAGCCGGACGCTGGCTGGGGCCCGCACTGTTGGGGGCGGTGACCCTGCGATGTTGTTGGTGTCGCTGAGCTTGGTCGCGCTGTGTTGGAGTGTGGTGTCCCCGGAGCCGGTAAGACCCCGTCCGCGCCCCTTTCCCGCGTTTCCTGCTCTGGAGCCCTGACCCTGAAGGTGGCCCTCCGGCCAGTTCGTACCTCTTCAAGGCGTTCGCGGAGGGCGGTCTAGAGAGGGCAAGTCTGTGCCCCCAGGGCAGCCCGGCTTGTCCTGGCCAGGTGGCACCCAGCTTCAGGCAGCATGAGTCAGGGGCATGTCACCCTATATTCTTAATCCAGTCATTTATGCTCACTGAACCTCCGTGTCCTCATCTATAAAACAAAGGCTAATACCGAACTCACCAGAGTCTGGGGAGGGACAGGGAAGGCCTGCAAGACAGCAGCAAAGAGCCCAGTAGGTGCTCAGTATTGTTCTGCTGGGGGTCTTGAAGTCTGCCCACTTTTTGGAGCACAAGAGCTGCTTCTCCATTACCACTCACCTTTTTAGTCATGTTTGATTCGTGTTGTGCTGGGTTGTCTCTTCCCTGGAGCTGGTAAGTCTGGAACTCTTCCTTCAGAAGTTTCCTTTTCTCCCCAGTGCCTTGAAGGGCTGAGGAAATCTGATTCACTAAAGAAGAAAACGCTCATTGGCAAAATAGTATTTGAAATTATATCCCTACGTTTTTAGCACGGCATATAACATAAAAGCATGGTGGTTACCTGATGATGGTTATGGAAAGAGAAACCCCATTCATGTGCCCTGACGTCTTCAGCCAGCGAGGATCCTTGCTGCGGCGCCTCTGTCTCAGTTTAGCACCCCCTTGGCCTTTCCCACTAGAGGAAGAATTCATTGCCTTTGCAGTAGTTGCTGTCAGGCCAACAGTTTGAACTCTGAAGTTTGAGGTGTTGCTTTGCTTATTCCTGCAACTTGTATTATCAAGCCTTTTGACAGAACTCAGCTCCCTTTGTGGCAGCTTATTTGTCTTTAAAAATGCCTCATAATATCCCTTGGAGTTCGGCTTCAAAAAGACAAAGGTGAGCAACTGACAGTTTCTCCTAAGCCCAGATTACTCAAACTAGCAAGTCTTGCCTTCTGTCTTACAAGGTGTTTGGAAATGTTGAGGCCGAGGGGGATCAGCTTCCCCAGCTGGTGGACGTACCACACTGAGTCTTTGCTGCTGCCTAAAAGGTCCAGTATTTTACTCTAAAACCAAAGTATTGTGTTATCTAATTTAAAAACATGAGCAGTTAATTTCAAAAGATTTCGTACCGGCCTTCCCCGGGCACTGATGATATGTATTTTTTCAAGTTCTTTTGAAAAGACAACACTCAATCACAGTCGCTTTATGATTTTATGAGTAGCTCGGGTAAGTCGGTCTTTTTAGTAAGTATCAGGTAAGTATTAGACGAGGAATGTGTTAAAGAACCCGGGGACAATACCATGAAATGCGTTGTGGCTTGCTTCTGTTCATCTTCTTAGCACAGACAGTCCTTAACTTGGGGAAAATTAAACAACAACAACAACAAACAAAACCTCTAGATGGCCCTGGAAACCTACTGTTACACATTAGAGTGTGAAGGGGTTTTCCTGGTGGCCCAGAGTCATCCCCTCTGGGCTTGAAGTGAGGCGATAAGCAGGCTTACGGATCTAGTATACTGATGGCTGATCTATGGTCCATCATAGCCTACGTGGGGAGCTTAGTCTCCCCCAGACTGTGAAGTGGACTAGCTCAGCTTTTCTTTGAGCATTCGTTACTTGTGTAGGCATTTAAAGAAAAAAGATGCCTTTTGACTAGTTTGGCTTGTGGTTTGCTGGCATTCAGCATGATACTTGGTTTCTTTCTCTCTTGCAGGCAATTCAGTGTGGCTCAGAAAATGGTAGGTATACTAGGTAATGGGTATTTGGGGCTTTACATCAAAATTGAAAGCACAGTTGGACTTTTACAGGCCTGAAGCCAGGTATAGGGTCGTCAGAGACCAGGCTTAGGAGGAACCATTGCTTTGTCAGCTGATGCACACGAACCCTTCCCCTGCCCGAGGCAGAGCTCCCAGTGTTTCAGAGCAGCTGGCTTCCAGGCCAGTAAGACAGTAGAAGGGGCAGCGGAAGGGCAGGAATGGCTGTGCAAGGCAGAAGGTGAAGTGTGCCACTCCTGAGAGGGAGCTGAAGTGCCGTGGGAAGGAGGTCACGTACACTCAGAAATAGTAAGCAAGTGTTTCAGAGGAGTGTTGAGATCCTAGCATTTGAAGACTAGGTGGACTTCTGCCCAAGAAGTGTAGATGAGGAGGGTGAGCAGGGGGAGAGATGGTACTGGCAAAGTTCAGGAGGTGGGAAGTGGGAGGTGGGGGGCCAGCTGGCTGCAGTCCAGGCCGAGGTATGGGGAAGGCAGGAGCGAGCCTAAAAACATGTCCAATACACTAAACACACACACACAGAGTGGTCCACCTGGAGTGGTCCCAAGTGCTCTGTAGATTGGGGCCAGGAGGTTGACTGTCGCCTCAGTCATAATTCAGTCAACACTGAGAAGTGTCTGGCCTGCCTCTGCAGCATCAAAGACCGGTTGTGAATGAGGGTTGGGTCAGGGTGGGTCACTCAGAGGAGATGTCGTCGAATTGGGCCAGGGAGGGACGTGTCACGGGCAGTCTCACCTTCTCCCAGGACCGTCTCCAGAGTGGATGGTCAACCACACTCTAACCCCAGGAGACTTGAGGGACCTTCGAGTGGAATCTGTTAAAACCAATGTTGCAACGGAGGACTATTCGATTTTGATGAACATAAGCTGGATACTCCGGGCAGATGGTAAGTTTGCATCAATCAAAGTGAAGGCTGAAAACAGACATGTGCAGACTATAGGATTCATTAATTTTATTCCTAGACATACATATACCCAGAAGAATATATACACACATGCACCCAAAACCATATGCTAGAATGTTCACAGTAGCATTATTCACAACAGGCAAAAAGTGAAAAGTACTCAAAGTCCTGAGTGGAATTGGAGTCACAGAATGGAATCCAATACAGGAATGAGCACGAACAATCTACAATGATGCACAATATAGAAGAATCTCTCACATCCAAGAAGCCAGATTCCAAAGAATTCCTACAGTCATATCTGCATGTTTGCCTATAGTTGTATATACTGTATGATTCCATTAATTAAAGATGCAAAAGAAGCAAAGCACGTAGGAGTCAGGACAGTGGTTCCATTGGGGTGGAAGTGACTGAAAGGAAGCATAAGGGACACTCCTGGGGTGTTTCTCGACCTGGGTACTGGCTGCATGAGTGCGCACACTCGTCTGGCAGAGTACTTCTCATCTGTGTGCTTCTCTGTATGTAATGTTATGGCTCATGGGAGCAGACGGGGCTTCCACGGTTCCCCCAGGTTTAGGAAAAGCATCGGCTTGGGTAGTGAACATGCAATTCAATATACAGATGATGTATTATAGAACTGTACACTTGAAACCTATATTATTTTATTAACCTACATCATCCCAATAAATTCAATGAATACCCATGTTAAAAAATGAAAGGCACTGGCTTAGACAGATTACTGTTTCCACTTCCCAGTGGCATTTCGGAAGTCCTGGCACTCCCTCAAGGCAGCTTGTGTGTCCTTTTGATGAACAAATTCTGGGGGCCTGAAGCTCATGTCTGTGGTTTCCACCTGCTGAATTCAGTTAAATTCCATCTGTTCAGGAATCTGTGAGGACCAGGCACAGAGGGGCGAGTCAGCTTCAGGCACAGTCACACGGACAGTGTCAGGAATCCCGAAAGGAGCCGTGAGTGGATGGGGGTGGGGAGGAGAAGGAGAGGGCCCTGGTGAGCTCACTTAAATCAGGTGATGCAATACGGCTTTTGGTCCCCCACCTAGCAGAGTGAGCTCGTGTATTTGTTAACTGTTGTTATAGACAGAATAAACCCTCGAGAGCAGAGAATAAGAGAACAGACACTCCAGGAATAAGAATTGGCATGGATAAAAGTGCAGTCAGTAGAGGCATGGTTTGGTGATGATGTTCTAGAAGGTTTTTCACTTCTAAAGAAATCCAGAATAGTGCAGTGCTTGAGTCACCTTTGCAGGTAGCCTGTGAAATTCAGGTTCACCTGTGAGGAGGAAAGAGCTTGGGCTTTGGAATGTGAATGCATATTCTGTACCTGCTCATACACCAGTACCACTGACCTGTGGCCAAGGGGAGCTTTGTAAGCTCAGGCAAGTCTCTCTGAAATTCCCGAAGCCTCACTCACCCGGGTGAGCTGGGGGCAATAATGGTGCCTAGCCTTCAGGGTTGTTGTATGAAATGTGGTGGGTATACTCTTAGCATCAAGCCAGCAACAGAGAAAGTGCTAAATAAACTCTCTTGTCTATCTCATCAGCCAGCATCCGTTTGTTGAAGGCCACCAAGATCTGTGTGACAGGCAAAAACAACTTCCAGTCCTACAGCTGTGTGAGGTGCAATTACACAGAGGCCTTCCAGACTCAGACCAGACCCTGGGGTGGCAAAGTAAGCATGTTGAGGAACTTGGTTGATTGTCATTAAAGCTGGGGAGGCCTTGTGCTTGGGGATGTGGGTGATGTCAGCCTCCACACACAGGCTGGTGGGCAGCTACACTTCAGCCCAGAGCACGATGCCTGGGTTCAAAGCCCGGTTTTGGACACCTCTCTGCTGTGTGCCTTGGGCAAGTCCGCATCTCTTGGCCTCATTTCCCCCATCAGCAGAGTGCAGGGAGCTGAACTTGGACTATATCCTGGCTCTAAAATTTTAAGCTTCTCTGCTTCTGTGAGTTACACTGAAAGTTGTGTGGGGTCCATTCCCTAAGCAGACATTGACTACAGACCTATGTTTCAGCAGTAGGTTGAGGAATAAAACTCTAAATGAAAAGGGCAACACAAAACTATTATGTTTTTGCATCGCAGTGTTTCAGAAATTCAGGAGATCCTTGCTTTGCCTTTCAGTGGATGTTTTCCTACATTGGCTTTCCCGTAGAGTTGAACACACTCTACTTCGTTGGGGCCCATAATATCCCCAATGCAAATATGAATGAAGACAGCCCCTCCTTGTCTGTGAATTTCACCTCACCAGGTAAACTTCCTTACTCTTCCATCTTCCTGAGATGCTTGCTTTGGGTATGTGGTTTGGTATAGAGAAGTCAGGGTACCCTGGTCAAGGTGTTTGGCCTTGTCAATTCTTGAAACATGGACACAGTGGTAACTGTACCTACCGAGAGTGGAGAAGGGGTAAACTTAGGAAAAAGACCATTTCTGTGTGGCAGGTACTGTGCTGAGCACTTGACATGCATCATGTCACTTAAGCCTCTAACAACTCCGAGGTCAGGAGAGCCCTGTTTTACAGGTGAAGAAACTCCTCAAGTAACTTGGCCTGGGTTACACACAACGTAAAAGAGAAGCTGATATTCAAACCCTGGTCCTGCTTGATCCATGCTCATTAGCCACTCTGTCATTGATGCAAAACATTTGTCCTAGTCTTGGCTTCCTAACATGCTGTGTTGTTTGAGAGCATGTTCCTTGGTCTCTGAGGATGTACAGTCACCAGTAGGCTTGTCCCCTGCACTGTCGGTGACAGGCAGTGTGGCCCCACGTTGAATGTTGGGTTCTTTCTCCTGCTCTGTGACATACAGTCAGGTCTCTAGTGTCACACCTGCAATGTCACACTTGGTATAGAGAAGTCAGGGTACCCTGGTCAAGGTGTACGCCTCGCTGCAGGGAGGAGGCGACAGAGTCATGTGTGGCAGGTCCAGCACGGTGTCTGGCTGCAGCCGTCACCACACCACCCCCCATCTGGGGTGGGTCACCTCTTCTCTAGCCCCTGCCCGCTCACGGTCTCAAGTAAACTTCCAAATGGGCAATTTCTAATTGTTGTTCTTTGAGACTGGGGTCCCGGATGTTCTTGGAGCCATACCATACTTTTAAAAATGTAAATGTTTTTGTTTGGGAATAATTTTAGATTTACGGAGAAGTTGCCACAATAGTTTGAAGTTTCCATACACCCCTCACCCAGTTTCTCTTATCATCAACATCTCATATCACCATGGGACATTTGTCACAACTAAGAAACCAACATTTGTACATTTCTGTTAACTATGTCTAGACTTTATTTGGATTTCACCTGCTGTTCCATTAATGTCCTCTTTCTGTTCCAGCTGCATTTTGTCTGTTGTGTCTCCTTAGTCTCCCTTGGTCTGTGACAGCTTTTTAGTCTTTCTTTGTTCTTCATGACCTTGAGAGTCTTGGGGAGCACTGGCCAGGCACCCTGAGGAATGTCCCCTAGTCTGAGTACACTGCAGGGGCGAGGCACCCTGCCCTTGGCATCCTGTCGGGGCCTGTGGCATCCACGCATCGTGGGTGCTGGTTACTTACATCACTTGGTGAAGTGGCATGTGGCAGGCCTCCGCATGTAAATCTGCCATTTTTCCCCTTCCCAAGTCTGGTTTTTGCAAACAAGTCACTAAGCCTACCATTGTAGGGTGGGAGTGTGGGGTGGATTAAGCTCCACCTACTAGAAGGGGCTGTATTTACACACTTGACCAAACCTCATTTTAAAGGACGGTTTGAGTCTTCTCCGGGGATCATAGATACTGTTGTGATAAAGACTATATTGAAATGAGACTCTGATCACCACATCATGGGTAGATAATCTTCTGTTTAACTGTAAAATGTTAGCGTTCTATTTAAACCTGCAATCTTACCTCACATCTTGAATGTTCTGACAATTCATATGGCTGTGGTAAGCATATAAGTATGCGTACTTGTTGGCAAGGGGTGGAGCAGAGATATCTTTTCTAAAATGTAAAACCTTTCATTCAAATTTCCAGGCTGCCTAGACCATGTAATGAAATACAAAAAAAAGTGCATCGAAGCAGGTAAGTAAATACATCATTTGCTTTTGTTTTTTGAAGAAACTCGTAACTCGAGCCAGCACAACTCAACCCATCTTCCATGAAGAAACTGAGGTCGAGTTGCTCTGCCCACTGAGTGAAGCCTCCAGTCCTCCCAGGGAAGGACAGACCCTCAGTGCGGTTTCGTAGTGAGCAACACTCACAGCAAAATGCCCCGCCCCAGTGGCCGAACCAGCATTTTAGCTCAAACTGCTTTGATGGTGGTGCTGATCAAAGGTTGTTCCTGATTGGAGGGGTGGCCCATAAGTCCTTCCACCTGCTCATACACCAGAACACCAGTACCACTGACCTGTGGCCCTGGGGACCCTGAGAACCTGCTGTCTGCATTAACAGACGTCCAAGGTGGGAGTGTTAGCTGACGTAATGAACCAACAGCACGTTCTCAACCTGTGTCCTCACAGGGGTCATCTCTTGCGTGCTAGGCTACTAGAACCTGCCCCTACTCTTGGCATTTTGAAATCAGACCCTTCAGGACAAACAGTCCCAGGTGTCAAGTTTCCAAGGACTGTATAAGGACTTCCATAAATTTCTGGGTAATATAGTCTTAGCATGCTGAAGAAGTTAAAGGTATTTGGGGGAATCGATCCCCGTCTTTTACGCACCCCCATCCCACAAGGTATCCCTGTGCACCCTGCCAGACTGAGCTACACGTGGTCTCCTTGTTGGCAGACTTGAGCATTGTGCCAGGAGTATGGAGTATGGAGGGCCATGGTGATGTGGAAGGTCTGGGGGCCTTCAGTCAGTCACAGAGCCACTCCCAGAGGCCGCCTGAGCCAGTGCCTGAAATGGTCTCCTAGATGGGGAACATAATGCGTGCTATTATATATTACCTTCCTGGAAATTAACCTAGTGCTGATTTGCAAGTCTCATGAGTGAAACAACTGGCTTCTTCTCACAGAGTAGACCTGTCAGGGGATCCTGGGAGGCATTTCCTCATTTCTTCACATCTAGGAAAGCTGGCGGAGTGGTTTGAAGGAAGAAACTCCTAGAACCCCAGAATGTTCTGGTAGCTGTAGTCCTGGCCCTGAATTCATTTGCTCTATAATCTTAGACAAGTCCCCAACACATGGCTTGTCCTCCCCATTCTGGAAAGGAGAAAACACTGATGCCAGCTCGTAAGTCAAAATGGACACTGAGAACAGAAGTGAGCAGCAGAACCCAATCTGTACTGCCCACCATCCTCGGCCCAGGGAAGCAGAGCAGTGACTTGAGGTCCTTAAACTTTCATGGGCACCAGCTACTTTGAGATTCTGGAAGCGACGACAAATAAAAAGTACACTGTGTAGTGCAGCCCGTAGTTCTTGGATATATGCGTGGGAACTTGTATTTGTTTTTGTCAAGCCCTTTGGGGGAAGTAGATGAGGGAAGAGTTTGCAACTTCATCTGTGTGATTCTCTCCTGATAGGAAGTCTCTGGGATCCAAACATCACTGCTTGTAAGAAGGACGAGAAGACTGTAGAAATCAATTTTACAACCAGTCCCCTTGGAAACAAATACATGGCTGTTGTCCAAAATAACTTTTCAACTGCAACTTCTTTGCTGGAGGTGCTCTTTCCCTTCATTTCCTTACCACCAGGCATCCTCAACCTCCCGCTTTCCTTACCTTGCTGAAGTAACACATGTGCACTCCAGGATTCCCTGGACAGCCTCTCTTTTAAGAGACCATAGGCAGAACTGTCTACAGTCCGAATGTGCTGGGTGACTTTGATTAATTCAACAGAGAAAAACGAGTCCGGGGGGCCTCACTGGAAATGTCCCTGTGAAGCTAAGTTGAACTACAGGGAGAGGGTCAGAAGTATGAAGTGAATCTGCATTCATATAGTCCAGTGAATTGAAAGTCATTTTGGGTAGAGTGGTTTCTTCACTGGCGGTCATTGACCTACTCACACATACAGCTCCTAACTATTGATTTTCTCTCAGTTATCTGCACAGAGCGAACTAACTCGAACTTCTATCACGGTTCCAGTGACTGAGGACAGTGAAGGTGCCGTGGTCCAGGTATGGTTCAGTGAGGAGCTTTGGGGAGGGGAAGACGGATTTCTACACCATTAATTGCTTTTGATGAGTCCTTTCAAAACTGGAATAGGTGAGTCCTTTCCTGTTCATTTGTGCCAGAAGTCTTACATTAAATGATGTTAATGGGCATTTCTTGTCTTGGTTTTTATAGTGGTAAGGTCAGGAAGCTGACCTTAAAGTTATGGTGTCTTATGCTTTTACTAGTGGCTGTTGACTTTCCAAAATGCTTTTATTTCCATTTTCTGTCACAAAGCCGATGAGTAATTCTAAGACAGGAGTACCATTTTATTTTCCCAAGCTTCAGTTTCACCTGTAAAATGCAGTGTTAAAACCAAGTGAAATGTGAAGGCCTGGTTTCCTGATTAGCGTGCGAACTTTGAAGGGCAACTGCCTGTCCTCACAGGGCCTCAGTTTACTCAGATGGACGATAGGAGATTGAGCTCTGGCTGGTGCGGCTCAGTTAGTTGGAGCATCGCCCTGTAACTGAAAGGGTGCGGGTTCTATCCCTTGATCCTGGTGCTTATGGGAGGGAACCAATGGATGCTTCTCTCTTACACTGTTTCTCTCTCTCCCTTCCTCTCTCAAAAAGCAATAAAAAAAAAATGTCCTTGGGTGAGAATGGAAAAACTGAAAATAGAAGTTAAGACTAGCAGATGCTCTCTGGTCCCATTCGAATCTGAGTTTATGATGTGAGCTGTGGAGGGTCTCAGTGAGACACAGCCTCGCCCAAGATACAAGGAACGTTTCCTTTTCCTCCCCTGGAACATGGAGGCAGAACCATGTGGTGCCAGAAGCCTGTGCGCAGCCTCCTCCGGGGAACCAGACTCTCCTAGTCCCAGGGCTCTTTCATGTCGTAAAGCATGACTCAGTAGGAGCTCTACTGCTGTTTGTTCTTGTGAGGAAATATTTGTACATGTCTAGTGCAACCTGTTTACAGATGGAAACTGACATGTTAGCTACGTTTAGTTTAGGTTCGGACCTCAGGCAACTTCGAAGGCGCTTCGGTCTTGGGACACGGGTTTGGACTGGAGGGCTTTATCACTGAAGTGTGACCAAGGGGAAAAAAAAGTCCTGTTACAAGAGGGAGCAGCAGGGTTGATGCCAGGAAAAAAAGGGAAGAGAAGTTTCCGTGGAAGTAGGAATAATGCTGAGATTTTGTTCTGCGGTGCAGTGGGAACTTTCTGATCCTCTTGTTTTCCCTCAGTTGGTTCCGTATTTCCATACTTGTGGCTACGACTGCATCCGTCGCAAAGGAACTGTTGTGCTTTGCCCACAAACAGGTGGCTCCTTCCCTCCAGATAACAGTGAGTGCCCAGTCATTGTCACAGGATGATCAGAGAGGTTCAGAGCATGAAGGCTGAGCTGTCACCACTGTCCGATTCAGTATGTGACAAGGGTGTGTGGGGGATGTGACAGAGTCCCTGCCTGTGTATGCTGAACTGGGGTGCAGGCAAGGATGTCAGAGCTGAGTAAGATGAAACTTTATTTATAAAATTGCCTTGCAATCCTTTACAAAGCAGAATACACACAAGGGAAAAAATAAACAGTGCAGAATGGATGTTTAGAGTCACAAGGATCTGCTTAAAAAGTCAAGAGCGTAAAAGGACTAAGTATATAAAGAAATATGCACTTGACTGCATTCTTCCTATCGTATCAGTCTGAGTGGCCCAGGCCCAGCTGTTGCTATAACTTGATGGGGTCACATGGCCCACATTTGGATAACAAATTAGTAAACTGGCACCAAAAGACACGCCTCACTGGTGTCTGAGAGCAGCATGTTCTGGAAAATGTGTCTCTGCATTTAGAGATGTTAGTACTTCCACTTACAGATGGACAAGTAAAGTGTTCTGGAATTAACCCAGGGATGGGGCCAAAACTTGCAAGGTGTTATTTTTAGAAACTCAGCCAAACCAAGTAACAACAATCCAAGTGCCTAACAGTTCAGACCCTGTGTGGGCACAGTGGCCCTGGGACCCTGAGCACATCTGTGGGCCAGAGCTTACCTGACCCTGGACATCCTGTGAGGGAGTGGCTTTATCCCCCACATTTCCTGTCTTACAAAACAGCCTTTAAAAATGCATGTATGTGTACTACATATTAAGTATTGCACCCAGAATTAAGTTAATTCATCAAAGAACAAAAAACCAAAGTGTAAATTCTAGTTACATTAGGATAGATACGGAGTAAGAAGCCAAAGTGATTTATTTTAGAGGACTCGTCTTAATCGCCTCCCACATCCCAAGAAGCTACCGGTAGATCTGGACACTAGAAAAACACACCACTCTTCACATGCCTCAGAGACCTACTGATCCTTGGTTTTAACGGGTCTGAACTTCTGCAAGAAGAGCAAAAATCTTAGTTTCCAAGTAGGAGGTAATTTGGTTTTGCTTTGCTAAAGGTGATAAGCTCTGTTTTCCCCAGGCAGACGTGTGCCGAGTGGCTGGCTCCCTCACCTCCTCCTGGCTCTGCTGCTGGCCATGTGGGTGCTGGCGGTTGGGATCTATCTCATGTGGAGACATGGTAAGCGTTATGAGGCCATGCATGGAAGAAACCTGTTTTTGAAGGAGATTCCTCTAGAGGCGATCACGTTTTGGCATTGGACAGGAGTCAGACAGCATTTATTTAATGCCGTAGAGATCTTTTGAAAAGACATACACTGACTGGATCACATCTGCTCAGTAGGGTAAAGTGGGGATCAGGACCTCCAGATCTGGTGGCTAGCATCTGTGTCATTTTTACCACTGAGGCATCGGACAGGTACTGAAATGGGCAGATAGCTAACAAGGAATGGCAGTGTATCTGTGATAGGTACTCTCTGCTAGTTCCTACTTTTTAAAAAATAACTCTTACAGGGCATAACACTACGTTACTTGGTTTCGTATAATCAACATTAAAACAATGAGGACTACAGAAGCGAGTCTGTAGATCGCTGACTAGATAGAGGGTGGTACACAGAAAGCCTCTGCTTCTCCTCCTCTCCACCTGGAAAAAAGGGAATAAAAATGCGGACTCTGAGTCTCTGTGGTGGTCTGGATAGACCAAGGTTAATCTCATGATCTGGACTTTTAAGAAAGCCATGTGGAACTTTGACCTCAGGAATATTGGCACTTAGAAGATGTGGTGTGGCCTGTTGTTGGCTATAGTACTTTCAGAGGTAGCTTCTGTTCACTGGCACACGGGGCACCATTCCAGTTCAGTTCCAGCTGAAATGGGACACCATGAACCTTGCGGAATGATAAAGAAACTCTACCACCTGCAGGTAGAAAACGGAACTACTGAGTTGACCCAAGTCCAAACGTGAAGGCCAGCGGTCAGGTTGTTCCTGTTCACATGCCTATGGTACTAAAAACACCCAAGTTACAACAACCCAGCCACCTAAAACAGGATACCTTAAACTGGAACAATTCCTATGAATTTACCTGAAAAGGTATGGCTTGATCAGAACAGATTTAGTGGCCAGGACTTAGAAAATACAGCTTTTATCTCTTTATAGTGAAAGCCTGCTGTTTGCTGTTCATAGATGACAAATGCTTTTCTCCCTCCACAGAAAGGAACAGGACTTCCCTCCCTACCACCGTGCTACTGCCCCTCATTAAAGTTCTTGTGGTTTACCCATCTGAAATATGCTTCCAGCACACGGTTTGTTACTTCACAGAATTTCTTCAAAACCATTGCAGAAGTGAGGTTATCCTTGACAAGTGGCAGAAAAAGAAAATAGCCGAGATGGGTCCCGTGCACTGGCTTACCACTCAGAAGCAAGCAGCAGACAAAATCATTTTCCTTCTTTCCAATGATGTCAACACTGTATGTGATGGTACCTGTGCCAAGAGCGAGGGCAGCCCCTCTGAGAACTCTCAAGACCTGTTCCCCCTGGCCTTTAACCTCTTTTGCAGCGATCTGAGAAGCCAGATTCATGTGCACAAATACATGGTGGTTTATTTTAAAGAGGCTGATACCAAAGACGATTACCACGCCCTCAACGTCTGCCCCAAGTTCCGCCTCATGAAGGAAGCTACTGCTTTCTGCACAGAACTTCTCCACGCTGAGCAGCATGTGTCTGCACGAAAAAGGCTGCGAGCCTGCTACAACAGCTGCTCCTCTGTGTAGCCCCTCCCATTAGAAACAAGAACTCGAAGGCTTCCTACCCTCCAATTAGAAAAAGCTTCTGTGACGACTGCGGAAGTTTATTGTACGGGCAACGTGGAGGGTTTCATGTATATACCTGCGTTAGCACAAGGAATAATAGGAGGACTTAACAAGATATATATATATATATATATATGCCTTAGTCTAGTAATTCAACTTTTATGCTAATACTTGCAAATACTACTAATTTCTGTAGTATTAACTAAAGAATGGAAACTAAATTTATAGCTAAAAAGCTAAATCACTTTCATAACTAAAAATCAAGAATAGTTATAGTGTAGAACTGTAGCCATCCTGACAGTGCAGTGAGAAAGCATCTGCTGGCTGGTCTTGAATGGTCCATGCCCAGCCTTGGAGGTGGAACTGTTTACCTCTGTAACGTTCTAAGTTCAGTGAATGCCAAATTTCTTAAGCCCTTGTTAATTCACTCAGTAACTTCTTAGGTAAAAACCCTCTTACACACGTCTTTAATATGAAAATATAACCCATCTTTGCTCATCAGATGATCTAGTGTACGTGTAACCACTTGTATTATTTGGTGTTTTCCTAAGACCATCCCTCCCCGAACTGGGTTAATGTCCTATTTGCTTCTGTCCCGGTAACTTTAACATGAACACCCACACACACGCAGACCTGCCGTCTCCTGCTGCCGTTACCTGTTACGGGTCACTGTCATAGTTCAGGTTTTTTTTGGTTATTATTAACTTTTTGTGTTTAGAACAAAAAGAATCCCTATTATGTTGGAAGACAGCGCTCTTGAAGTAGTTTTATAAATGTGTTATAATGGCTTAGTAAAAAAAAAAACAAAAACAAAAAAACTACCACAGACTTACAGAACACAAGAGTTATGTAGTATTTTGAGCCTTCCAACTTTTTCATTTTCCTAAAGACATCATTTTCTTATTTTGGGTCACCAAAAGGTTATATATATATTAACACATGGGTTTTTCTAAGAATGCCTGTCTTTCACACAGTGCAATACTAGAATGTGGACCAGTTTCAGGCAGATGACTGCTAAAATGTATTCGTGGATTATTTTTAAAGGGTCATGCCACTCCTAGTACATGTCCTAAGGATAAAATAAAAGCCAAAATAACTAAGCATAGAATGAAACCTCACCGTGTCCTGCTTTACCAGCAGATACTTAGCAATTACTCAGGCAATATGTTTAATGTGGCAAAGGTCACACATTTGTCAAGATCAGTCTTCATGGTGCTTGAAAGAGCTGGTAATAGAAGAGGGACATGGCTTATGTCAAAACTTAGGCCAGAAGCCACTTCCTCTGAATCAACATCTACCAGTTATAACAGCAATATGCTATTACATGGAAAACTATTAAAGACAGAAATACATTATGCTTTTGGAACTAGGTAGCCAACACTACATTGTGTTGAAACAGCTCAGAAACATATACAAAATAATATGGTATGATTTTATTGTTGAAAATTTCTTAAATCAAAGAACATACAATTTTCAAATTGAAGACATACATTCCGAACAGCAGCAGCAAGTGAAGTTTTGTTATATTGGTGGACTTTGCCTTGTTCCTAACCCACTGGGCGGACACACAGGATAATCTTAGTGCAAAGTGCTCCACTACCAGCATTGCTCCCTGTCCTAAGACTTCTTACCATTCTTGTTGTATAAGCCACTCTTATCCCCATCCCTTAACTGCTCCTATGTTTGTCTTCTCCCCAGTCCCACCTCCAGTTCCTGACAGAGATAAAAGGAAGCAAGCGCAAGAGCCTGACAGAAATCAGGTATTTCCCACCCCCCAATCCTCTCAGGCCTCTGAGCCCCCAGGCTGTGCTCCTGTCTCCAGACATGGCCCCTCTCTTCCTTTGGCCGGGGGCTCAGAAGGCTTCACTGAGGCACTAATAGCTGTCTGTGTTACTTACCGTTTGCTTGACTGCTCACAGATCAAGGTCAATTGATCATACTGAATACAAAGAACTCCAAATACCTTCACTGGGTTCTTCAGGTAAAGGAAAACTTTGGGGGGCGGGGCGTGGTGGTGGTTTGGCCGTTATGATTAAGTCAGTAGTCACTGCAACTATCGCCTTGCTTATCTGTACAATACATGCTAACAACTCTCAATTATTCCTAAATCATTTGTTTGGCTTTAGGAAGGAAACAAATGTTCCTTTTCTGCTTTGGTTGTTTTGGTCAAATAATGACTATTTTCTTTTCCCAAGGCTACCCTCAGGCATGTTGGGTAATGAAATCCAGCCCGCCCAGCCTTAAACCTCTGCCTTGGCAAGTCTAGACCTGAATGGGCCCCCATCGTTTTGTAATCCAATAGGAAATTTTAAAAAAACAAAAAAATCTTTTTCTTATTTGGAATTCCAAAAGCACATGGTCACGTCATACGTGCTTGCTATTGCAAACAGGGAAAATATCATGACCATACAGTGCTCACAATTCAGGTCCCAAGTCTCACCCCCGCGCCCCCCCTTATGGGCGCAGGAGACTGTCTCATGACAATCGGCAGTCAGCTTAAATGAAGAGCTGCACCACCTGACAACTGCTCAGCCATCCTCCATCACTGGGGGGTTCCGAGACCCTGAGAAGGGGCAGGGAAGCTTACCACATTTTTTCTCAAATGTCCTGATACAGAAGCAGCTTGTAATTTCACACCCATGTCAGGTCCTCAATATAAGATATAGAATTGTAGGTCAATAAATAAAAAACACATATTCTGTGAGAGTCTTTAGTATCAAGAGGCTTGTCTTGGGTCTCCTTCAAGAGTGACTTCCCTGCCCATCTCACCACACAAAGGCCGCTCGCTCCCGCAACATGCGGACACCGAAGCGCTGCCACTCTCGCTGATAGACCCACAGTTCCTGCGTCGTATCCAAACAGGCCAGCACGGCCCCCCCCTTCCACGCAATCAGCCGGGGGTCCATGTCCTACAGCAGCGACAAAGACAGGTCAGCACACGCAGACAAGACGTACACTTAATCATTTATTCGAATTGGGGGTGGAAAAGATCCTGCTGAGTCAAGAACGAATAAGCCAGATTTTCAACCTGTGCTAGACCCATGAACTTACATTACAGGTGTCTTTCTTTCAAATGACAAGAGAACTTTCCAGTTTTTATTACCAAAACTGCTACTACTCACTATTATACACAGTCATCCCTGAAGGCAGAACATATGTAAGGAAATAATTAATTTTTAAGTTTGAGTAGATAAATGTACCCCACAATCTCTCCCTCAGGATTAAAATTAAGAACATTTCCAGGAATTGTCCATGAGAGGTAATGCAATATATAGGCACAATCTGTTTCTAAATTCCTTGGCTTGTATTTCAAGATAGTTCAATCCTAAAAGATTCTTGAAGATCACCTGGTCCAGGGACCAGCGGCAGTTCCTTAATATGAGAGAGATCACGGCGCTGTTCTGGCTGACAGCGTGACACGGGTCAGTCTTCCCCCTGCTCCACGATCCTTCCAAAGGCAGAGTGAGCCCTGCTAGCTTTGGAGACCACAGCAGGGACTTAAACCCAGGAACCCAGTCCCCCTCATCCAAGCTCCTTCCCTGCACCTGTGACCTGCTGTAAGTAATAATTCCACTTGGCCCAAATCCTCAAGAACTCCCAGGCACAAGCTTATGACTTCCAGGATTTCATCTGCCCGCACATATCAGAGTCAGAAATAATCAATGCTCATTTAACCTGCATACAGTTCAACTTGCACCATTAGCAACATACCTTAGGCCTTGTGATCACTTCCACATTTTCAATAATTCGCCTGAATGAAGGTGGCATTTTGTTGAGAATTCTGTGCTGCAGAAACTCTTGTGCTTTGTGAAACATCAAACCGCCTCCCACCACCAGGATGGAGCTGTACATCTTCTTTTTGGTATCATCAGATGCTGCAAAGACAGTGAAAGCCCGTCCAAGCCTTTCCTCCGTATGTACCACCACCCTAGGCCACACCAACATCATCTCTTGTCTGGGTAACTGCAAGAGCCTTCTCAAAGCTCTAACCCCTCCTCAACAGTGCAGCCCGAGTGACCTCCCCAACACACGAGAGTGGGTTGCTGTCCCTACCCTGCACTTGTAGCATGAACAAAACCTCCAAGGGGGCCTAAAAAGTCCAGTGTGGTGTGTACTCGGTTTTCTGGCTTCATCCTCACACCCCGTGTCCTAGCCACTCCGGCCCTTGCAGCCTTCCTCCTCAGCCTGGAATGCCACCCATCTGCCTGCCTAACCGCCACTCACTGCCCAGACCCCTCTCAAGCGGCTCTTCCCCAAGGAATCTTCCCGATTTCCACCCTCCACAACTCCCCCTATGAAGTAAAAATTCCTTATTAAACCCCTCAATCAGCACCGTTTAGTTCAATTTTGTTGCACCTGCCAGTTATAATTTCACATTTGTGATAATTTCCTTATTCTGGACTCCTCCAACGAAGCCAGGAACCAGTGCCCAACACCCGGCAATGCAAGCACAAGGCAGGTGCTTGACTGTTTTTGAATGTTACGCAGCACTGTACAACCATACCCTAGGCTGAACCTATTCATTTAACTGCTGTCTCCCAGCTTGCCCCACCGTGCTTACAGCAGCAGTCTATGCTGTGAAGGATGGCTTTATCCAGGCCCAGAGCTTTCCCTTCAAACAGTGAGATGGCAGTCTTCCTTGACATCAGAGCGGTGAGGGCCTCCTCAGAGTCATTGCCAGCCATCAGACAGTCTCCCTGGGAGGGTCCCAAATCCACCTCCTGGGAATGGAGTCTTTCTGGAAGGTCAGAGGACTGCCCTCGAAGATCCCCTTCAAATCCAATGGGTTTGGATGCAGACTTTCGGTCGGCAGTAGCTTTTGCAGACTTTAAATCAATGAAAAGGACAATCAAGTAGATAGTATGATTATGACATTGCCGATGTTCTCCAGCTAGACCTCCCGCCACTAGATGAGGTGGACCCCTTATAGCACAGGTTTCCCCAGCTAGGTGAGTGTTCCGGGAACCCATCTGTAGCAGTGTGGTGTTATTGTAAGAGGCTGCATTTAGCTTCAGTGGATTTTTTGAAGACTCTTTCAACACACTTGCGCATTTCACAATGGGTGACTTACAAGTGCAACCAGCCCATATTGCATTGAGCGTTCAGCATTTTTTGACAAAAAAATGTCATGACCCTCGTGCCCCACCCTCCCTATTCACCTGATCTCGCCCCGAATGAATTTTGTTTGTTTCCCTGATGAAAAAAATCCTCAAAGTGAAATGTTTTGTTGATGTGGAAAAAGTGAAACAAAAAATGGCAGAAACACAAAAAGGAATCAAAATTGACAAATTCAGAAACTGTTTTGAGCAGCAGAAAAAAAAAGTCTTGATGGGTGTATTGCATCAAATGGAGAGTACTTTGAAGGTGACTGAAGTTTAAACACGTAAGAATAAATACACAATTTTTCTGTTTTTTGGAGGGCCCTCTCCTTGTACACTACTATACACTAAGGCCTGAGGGGTAACCTTCTCCTGCAAAAAAACAAAACAAAACAAAACAAAACAAAACAAAACAAAACAAAACAAAAAACCCCAAACAAAAACCCTGAGGTGTGGTGCAGAGAGGAAATAGACCACAGTATACAACCACCCACTTGGGAGTGAGGGGTGTGGACAGAAGAGGACGCACTGACAGTTCTAAAGGCGTCCCTGGCAGGCAGAGTGGGTCTCGGAACCTTACTATTATGGGTTGGAATTTAAAATTGAGATGTCAAGTGTAGACAAGCTTTTCTTCCCTTGAATTGAGTTTTTAAGTGGAACTCTTGAGCCAGTGACTGTTATGAAATTCTCATTTTCAGACCTTTTCTAATCACTTTGTGCCCTTCTCTGGGACAGGGGAGAGGACTAGAAAAGACTTACAGCCCTCTTCCCACCACCATGAGCTGCTGTGTTATTAGCAGATAACAGCTGGCCCCTGCATTAGACTTCCTGTTACTGGGGTCAGCACTGGACAAAGAAATTTGGCTTTCTGCCTATGCCACACACCTCTCATATATTATAATTAAATATAGGTGAAGTTTTACTACAAATATTTACTATAGGTGAAAACTCTAAAGTAATTCCATTAATTTAACCTTTCAATGTGTGAACTGGTATTCTAAGAATTAGATGAATGCTGAACAAAAAAATCTGTCATCCAGATTTCAAATTTAGACTCCATCTAAAGTTCTAAAAACAGTATCGGCCCTGGCTGGTGTAGCTCAGTGGACTGAGCATTGACCTGCAAACCAGAGGGTCGCTTGTTTGATTCCCAGTCAAGGCACATGCCTGGGTTGCAGGCCAGGTCTCTAGTGGGGGCGCATAAGAGGCAACCACACATGGATGTTTCTCTCTCTCTCTTTCTCCCTCCATTCCCCTCTCTAAAAATAAATAAATAACATCT